GATCATCAGTGAAGTGTGGAAAGTGGGTGCTATGGGGTGGTGGGACTATCCAAAAAACCCTGCAAGAGAAAAGCCCGTTTGGACCAATCTATCTGCTCCATTTACAGCAAAGTGCACTAAAGAACAAAGAATTCTTATTTCTTTGGTCTGAATGACCAGATATTTCATATATTCCTAATAATGTCACATTTATATTAGGATTGTGCTTAAGGCAAGGATAAGGAAAGTGCCTTCTTCAGATGCTAATAAGCCCTTATTCCCATACATTCTAGCTTGTGCAATGGGATTTGATGCTAAGCATGTTGGGCATTTCAATTCAGTTGTAATCAGAAGACTACATACTGTCCATTTAGGCTTGATCAGGCATGAAAGGACTCTAACTACCAATTATATTATATATCACCTTAGCAGGGTCAAATTGCCTACCAATGACAAAGATAATATTACATACTTTTCTGATTTGTACAGAACTAGTCAAGCATGCATGCCCAGCTGTATCGTTTGATCCCTGGTAATGTGTCTCGTATGTACTAATTGTGAAAGATAGGTTGAGAGATATGGCGGGTGACAACATCTTCCCTGAAAAACATATCAATTACCTTTTGTTTCTTTTTTTTAAAAAAAAAATCTTACAGAAGTACCTAAAAGTTGCCCCATAGAAATTATAAAATGCCCACACATTTTTAAGAAAAACTGCCAGAATGATTATGATTGTGGGGGACTCAAGAAGTGTTGCAGCTCTAACTGCTTTTTACGATGTGTGGACCCACAATAAGATATGTAGAATGTGAGTTATTCAATGTCTGCAGGATAACTAAATAAACTGCATTTATCTAGTCTTGTGGATTATGAAATCATTTCAAAATTATGCATTGGAACCTGTATCTCAACCTGCCTATTTCTTTAATGTGAAATTTCAAATAAGTATTTAGCTTTCACAATTAATGGATGTTAATTGTTCATTATATCTTGCATTAACTTCACTCTGATTTTCTCTCTCATACAAGAAGATATTTTCTTATAAGCAGAAAGTAGATAAAAAAAGGAAATTGAAAACTGGATTTTTCAGTTAAAAAGACCTACTGCAATTTTCCCTTATTTGCTTATTTTTGTTTTTACTTCTAGGACTCAACGGTCTTCTTCCATACAAGATGAGCAAAATAAACAAATCATCAATCATCTCTATTGTTCTCAGACCATTTTGAAGAAAAAAAATCATTGATAAAGATGGTAATTAACTTCTCTGTGGTACAATTTTGCCACTTTATTTGGTGTTCCTCTACTATCTTTAGCAACTTGTACAAGTACCGATGTAGTCAATCAATGTAGTCAAGGAGGATAGCATAAATCACTGTGGGCAGAATTATTTTAGGGTGGTGACTGGGGAAAATCTAATAAAGCAATATAAAATAATTCCTTTGAACCACATTCAGCTGCACAAAATACTAAGTTAAATGACATTATCACAAAACAAAGTGGATAGAACCCATAACACAAACACTTCTTAAATCACATTTTTAGTTCCATCTTCAATCCAATACTGTATACAAAAAAAAGTAAATCATGAAAGTACTTTTAACATCACAAAGCTCATAATTAAGAAATAGAAAGATTTAACCAATAAAACAATACAGAGTGTACTCTTTTGAACATATAATATGCATTCCAGCAATAATCCCTCACTGCACAGAAAAAGCAGCATATATTTATTTTTCAGTCCTCTGAAATCAGATCATAGTGTCTACATACAGTTAATTCAATTGCAAAAAGTAGATGGCCCAAGTACATTCAGCCCATTTTCTGGTCTCCCTTTTGGATCTTACAGTTGCTTCTTTGTTTCTCACAGACCTACAACAACCCTAATCAAATAAAATCTTATTGGGGTCATGAAGAGAAAAGAAATACTTTGAACATATTTGTTTCTGTATTCTGAATCATAGCACCAGTATGGTGGATAGAATAAAAAGTATTTCTGCTCAGAAACCATTACTTATCAATATAGATGTATATGATAACATAATAGCAGCTAAATTTAAGATGTCAGTACCCATGAGGGCAAAATTAATTTTCACTAGTTGCTTTGAGATACTATTACTTTCAATAAAGCTTTAATGCATACTGTATTTTAAGATTCTGTAAACATCACATAGAAAAAGTTCAACATTTAATGTTTTATTTCAAATAGCGGTTTACTACCAAGAAATATTGTATCTGAAGTACATTCAGTAAAGATCATTGATAAATATTATTGGCAAATTAAGGTTCAAGAAATTTCAATATCAGAAAAAAATTTAATTCAGTAAGGTACACATCTGAAGGACTGACAGTAGTATGTGTATTTTAGTACTGTACTGCCCTCTGGTGATAACTCAGAAACATAAGTACTGTATGCAAATCTATAAATTTTAGAATTTTCCCCTGTTTTATTAGGTGGCTGGCCATCTGAAAAATGCCACATGTTAAGGCATTGATTACTATCTAACTGTTGCTATGGAAATCAAAGGAAGACTTCACTGAAAGAAAATGGTTGCCTCTGTTCTTTCTTTCCTCAGTTTAATCATCATTGACCAGGTTTCGGTATGGTCTTCTACATCCATTATACCTTTCTTGCTCGTTTTTGTTTTTGTTTTTGTCATTTAGCATTATCTCCCTTAGAATCACAAAATATTATATTGGCTATAAGACATCTTCTTCTTTTTAATACAGCAGCTTTTCATTACAGGTTGTTCTTGACTTATAACAGTTCATTTAGTGACCATTCAAAGTTACAATGGCACTGAAAAAAGCAACATATGACCGTTTTTCACACTTATGAGTGTTACTAACTTAACTGCAGTGATTCACTTAATAACTGTGGCACGAAAGGTTGCAAAAATGGGACAAAACTCACTTAACAACTTCTCCCTTAGCAACAGAAATGTTGGGCTCAATTATGACTGTAAGTTTAAGTATTTTAAGAAAGAATTACAGTGGGATGTAGAAACTTTCAGACTCTTATTCACACTCCTCTTATCACTTTCTCTTTGGTCTCCACAACCCTTATCTGGTTAGATGCCAACTGAAAAGGGCATTTGGCAGGGTGGCAGTGGTCTTTAAGCTTTGGCAAACTTCACTACCTGTTATAAGACAAGAGAATATATATTCGCTAACTTTTGGGAGACAGAGAGGAGATGAGAAGAATCAAGCCAACAAACAAAAACAAACAACTCTCCCCCAAATATTTTCTTATTTAAATACCTTCCAAGCAGTGTTTTCTGGGAAACTTCTGCTCATAGTCCTCCCAACAGCCTGGGACTGACTTGTAGTAGGATCTTCTCAGTGTGGTGCCCTAACAGGACAGCCACTTTTTCTAGAAGCAGTGAGAGCAGTGTTCCAATATTTGAGGGGCTCCCTACAAAGACGAGGGAATCAAACTATTTTCCAAAGCACCAAAAGGTAAGATGAGAAACAATGGATGGAAACTAACCAAGGAGAGAAGCAACCTAGAACTAAGGAGAAATTTCCTAACAATGAGAGCAATCAACCAAGGAAATGGCTTGCCTTCAGAAGTTGTGGGTGCTCCATCACTAGAGGCTTTCAGAAAAAGACTGGACAATCATTTACTTGAAATGGTATAGGATCTCCTGCTCAAGCAGAGGGTTGGACTAGAAGACCTCCAAGGTTCCTCCCAACTCTATTATTCTATATGTTCTATATATTCTAAGAGTTGCATAATCAGGAGAAGGGAGGAGCCAGATAGCTCTTTTGGTGCATAGTTTCAAGAAACATAAAGCAATACTTGTTCACATGGGTATTTAATTATTAAATTTATATGCCACCCATCACAATCAAGCAACTCCTCATTTGTTGGGAAGACATTGTGCCAGGATAAAAATGAATTTTAAATGATTTTTTTAAAATACAGTTAAGCACTCTACTTTTGTTGCTCTTTGACAGTAAGCTGCTATATCAAATTGCATTAATGAATCTTGTGCTTTTTTTATACACCATTTGAAATTCCCTCAGGAACTATACAGAAGTAATGAAATATAAAATCCCTTATTTTAAGAAATAGTTCTGGAAATTTTCACAGTATTCCAGTGAGTGAAAACTGCACACAGCAGAAAAAACAAATATCCTATTAAAATGAAAAGAAGATTACAGGGTTTTAAAAATAGTTCATATGTGTTTTTGTTATTGTTGTTGTTTCTCTGAGGCAGATAAAAAGATAACAAAGATAACTGTACTGATGGGATTGGCTAGCAGAGCCAGCTAGGGTGTCTGCAGAGTATGGTTGTTTTTTTAAAAAAAAAAAATGCACATTTTTAAAAAATAGCCAAAAACTTGGATTGCACCATCTTGATCTTCTTGACTAAACCCTGCAGACAGGGTTGCAAAAAGAGATTGTAGCAGCCAAATGTTTTCTCCATCTCTGTTGACTCATGGTATGCCCCATCTAGAAAACAGTTACAGGATATATGACAACTTATGCAAATAACAAATTATTTGGCTTCTTTATTTTGATACCTAGCTGAGTCAGTGTTTCCAGGATATGTAAAATATGGCAATAACCCACTTTTTTTCTCCTCTCACATATTTTATACAGAAAATGTGCCCTATTTTTAAATTGTATTCTTTAAATACAGTCTTCTTGCCTTTTATAGATTTCTTGACTCTCCAAATTATTTGACTCAATCAACTTTTCCATTAGTTTAAAATTCTTCCCCACTAACCCACCTCATGATAGTGGTCATCCAGTTTAGACTCCAGCATGACACATGAAGTTAGATTTTCCATTCCTAGGCACATCTGTTATAGAATTAAGGAGAGTTTGCATCAACTATTCCTCTTATTAAATCATTTTAAACCTTCAGATACTCAGCTGATTAAGAATTATGCTAATGTGTAAATCTAGAATATACTGATTTTGCTTATTTCTGAAAAAGTCTTTATATATAACGAACAATCTACATTCCTCCAGATAAAGAAATGATTAAACCAAATCATTATGATTCAGAAAGTTGTGCCATTGGCAAGTTTACTAGAAACTTCATGCAAATGATATCTTCAAATTGCCAGGATCCAGTGAGAGCTTCTTGAGTATGATAACAAATTCCTGAAACAATTCTTCTTATATAGAAGGCCCTGGAATTAGACCTAGAGATAATATGAGAAGAATAGAGAAATAAAACACAGCAATTCCAAATGAAAGCAGATGTCACATAAACAATTTCTACACCAGACTGCTAGCTCTGGTTCACATCTTACCATTGAAGCGTGAGTACCATAAGATTAAAATTGTGAACTCAGGCGTGAGAGTGACTCATTTTCCATTTGCAAGAATACAACAGCATTCTCTTGGAACTGCCAGAAATGAACAAGCAGACAACTTTCAGAATTGTAGAATTATTACATACTTTGAGGGTATCTCAGTAACAAGCTTCCATTTTAGTTAGTTTCAAATCCAAAGACACTTTGTCCAAAATGGTATAGAGTTTCCTGCCTGAGCAGGGGTTTGGACTAGATGACCTCCAAGGTCCCTTCCAACTTTATTATTATTATAAATAACTTGGCTGTAAATGTAAATTTTGAGCAGAAGAGCCAAAAAATATTCTCCAAAAGGAAAATGACTACACAAAGGCTGAAAAAAAAAGTGACAGAAATTAGATGGGCTTTTAGAAACAATTGTGATTGGAACAATCTTGGTTGGAAAACTTGAGAGCATTCCCCATCTTCTTAGCCAGAAGACTTTAAATGCAGGAGTCTATGGAGATTCTCAATCATCCAGAACATAGTTGTCCCAAAGGTGGTTTTTCAAAAAGCAACTAGATTTTGTTTTTCATTGAAGACATTTTGCTTCTCATCCAAGAAGCGTCTTCAGTTCTGATCTGAACTGAGGAAGCTTCTTGGATGAGAAGCTAAACATCTTCAAGGAAAAATAAAGTCCAATTGCCTTTTGAAAAACCATCTTTGGGATTAAAAGCAGGGGCTACTTTTTAAAGGGGCAATAAAGAAATTGATACTTTAAATAGCAATAGCATTTATATGTATATACTGTTTCATAGTACTTTACAGCATTCTCTAAGGGGTTACAAAAATGAAGGACTATCTCACTCAGTTTAAAGTGAGCTAAAAAAAATTATCTTTCCAAGTGACAAGAAGAAGTACTTAGAATGCCACTTCAGTGTTCAACCATCTTTTACCCTGAAATCTTCAAATTATGGGCTCTCAGACTAGAGTGGCAACTTGGTTTCAAAAAAGCACAGGAATGCTTAAAGCAAGACTGATGCCATTTAGATGGGAGATTCCGATGGGTATTGTTCTGAGCCATGCGGGGACACGTTATAGACTTAATACAGTTGCTAAAGCTAAGGATTTTTACAAAACGGTCCTGGGTGCAGGCTCACCTCTGCCCATGATGCACAAAGTCTTGAGTGATAAAGAGATGGAACAGAAACCTGAAGGTACAGGTGTGATGACTGCTGGACAGGTGGTATGGATGTCTCAAGCAGAGGTTAAAGAACAGAGAATGACCCGTGCAGCACATAAACGCAAAGAAAAAGAACAACAGAACAAAGAAAAAGAAATTAAAGAATCTACTCAGCAAATTGTCTCAATGCCGGTGGGAGGAGCAAGACCCAAAAGCTCTGCAACATACTCTTCAGTAGCAGAATTTGAGGGGATCTTCTCCAGGCTCAAGGCCAAGGGAGATGGCAAAGCTCCTGACCTGGAATGTTAATGGATTAAATATTCCTCAAAAGAGAAAAAAAATCTACCATTATTTAAAGCAACACAACAATGATATTATCTGTTTGCAAGAAAATCATATTACATCTAAAGACCAAAAATACTTAAACAATCCTCGTTTGGGATCTCATTTTGTATCTCCCGCCCCTGGGAAAAAAGGGGGGGTGGTAATCTATGTTAAGAAGAATTTATCTGCTATCCTGTTAGAATCAGATCCTCATGGAAGATATGTTATGCTTGAACTTGGTTTATATGGCAAGAAAATTCTTATTGTGGGGCTGTATGCACCAAACCAGCAACAGGAGCAATTCTACAGGTTGCTACATCAGAAAATAACCTTGTTGGACTATAGATCTGTGATTTTAATGGGAGACTGGAATGGCGTCTTAGATATACAAAAGGATAAAAAAGGCTTTTCTACTTTTTTTAAACAGGCTAAGCTATCTAAAGCCTTCTTTGACATGAAAGAAGATTGGGAATTGAGAGACTATTGGCGTGAACGTAACCAGGAAGAAAGGGACTTTACTTTCTTCTCAGATAGACACCAATCTTTCTCAAGAATTGATTTTTTTTTATTACAACAGATTTATACAACAGGGTGAAGAATGTAAAAATTTTTCCTAGGACATTGTCTGATCATAGTCCAGTTTGGATGGAACTGTTTGCTGAGAAAGAAGACAGGAGATCCGGGAGGGTGAATGAGAATTTATTTAAACAAGAAAAAAATGTTCACAAACTAAAGGAATGTTTAAAGGAATATTTTGCTTTAAATATGAATAAGGGAACATCAATGTCAATGGTGTGGGATGCAAGTAAAGCTTTTATGCGTGGTATTTGATAAAAATGAATAACTTGCATAGACAGAAACAGATTCAGAAACGTAAAGATTTAGAAGAGGAGATTAAATTAAAAGAGAAACTCCTAATTTCAAATCCTTTAGATGAAAAGGTGAAAGGAGCTATAAAACTGTTAAAAACACAATTTAACATGTTGATGGCTGATCAAGTTGCAACCAATTTACTATTTATGAAACAAAATACATTTTGTAATGCTAATAAACCAGGGAGATGGTTGGCTTATCAGTTAAGAAAGAAACAGAAACAGAGGAATATAGATAAAATAAATTATAATGGTAAATTGGTTTATCAGAAAGAATTGATTAAGAAATCTTTTTTAGAATACTACCAAAAATTATACAAGAGTACTAATATTCAAACTACAGATATAAACAATTATTTAGGTAAAGTTAATTTTCCTAAATTAACAGAAGATCAGGAAAAAGAGATTAATGGTTTAATTACTAAGGAAGAAATTGTTACAGCTATTAAACAATTGAAATTGGGCAAAGCGCCGGGTACGGATGGGTTGACATCTATTTATTATAAAACTCTAGTAGAAGAGATGACTCAACCGTTGTGTGAATTGTTTAATAACTTATTACAGGGGTTAGAGATCCCTCCATCTTGGCGTAATGCATTTATATCACTGATTCCAAAAGACAATCAAGATCTTACATTGCCTAAAAATTATAGGCCTATATCTCTTTTAAATGTGGATTATAAAATTTTTGCAAAAATTTTAGCTAATAGGTTTATGGGGATTTTGCAGCAGATTATACATAAGGATCAATTGGGTTTTATAACTGGAAGGTATATGAAAAATAATGTTAGACAAATTATTAACTTATTAGAGTATTTAGAAAAGAATAACCAAGTCTCTGCAGGCTTGATATTTTTGGATGCTGAAAAATCCTTTGACCAAGTGAACTGGCAGTTTATGTTATGTTTAATTAAGGAGATGAATTTTGGACAAAATATATTACAAGTACTATCTAATATATATCAAAAACAGACTGTATAAAAATAATTATGAAAAGTTGTGGATGGAGATACAGAAGGATTTAAAAAATTGGAACAATTTACAGTTATCCTTTATGGGTAGAATTGCAATTATTAAAATGAATGTCCTGCCAAAGTTTATTTTTCTGTTTCAAACGTTACCTATTTTAAAGAGTGATCGTAATTTAGGTGAATGGCAAAAAGGTATTAATAAATTTGTTTGGGCAGGGAAAAAACCAAGGGTGAAACTTAAAATAATGCAAGATTTTCGTGAGAGAGGTGGACTCAAGGTACCAAATATGAAATTGTATTATGATGCTGTAGTACTAACATTGATCAGCGATTGGGTGAATTTAACAAATATAGAAATACTTCATTTGGAAGGTTGGGATTTACTTTTTGGATGGCATGCCTATTTAATATTTAATAAAAAAGTGGATTGGGTTTTTAAGTTTCATATTATAAGAATCTCCTTGCTTAGAGTGTGGAGGAAGTATTATAAATTTGATTTTAAAATACCATTATGGGCTATACCTCGGCATGCCATAGAAGGTATAAGGAAAGGGGTTAATATGGATATGGTTTCTTATGCACAGTTACTTAGATGGGATGGCCAAGACTGGCAGTTAAAATCTTTGGAAGAACTAATACATGAAAATCTAACTTATTCATGGTTCCAATATAGACAAATAGTGGACAGAGGGAAGATGGATTGTAAAATGGGCTGGCTTAGAGAAGATGAAATTCTCCTAAAACAAGTAAGAGATCAAAGGCCAACCCATATTAAGAGAGTTTATGGGGTTTTAGTGGAATTGGATTCAGAATCTGAATTAGTTAAAGATTGTATGATTAAATGGGCACAGAATATTGGTGAATCGATTTCAATGGATACTTGGGAACTTATTTGTACAAGAAATGTTAAATTCACACAAGCGCAAAATTTAAGAGAGAATTTTTATAAGATGTTTTATAGATGGCACCTTGATCCAAAGAAAATGTCCATTATGTACTATAATTTACAGCCGAAATGCTGGAGATGTGGACACTTGGATGCTACTTATTATCATATCTGGTGGACGTGTAAGCATATAAAAGCTTTTTGGATTAAGATATGGTGGAATATTCAGAGAATTTTTAGAAGGAGGGTAAAATTTACTCCGCAATTATTTTTATTAGGTATTGTTACTGATTGTGATGCTAGGGAGGTTATATTGATGCTAAATTTGATTACAGCCACTAGGCTGTTAATAGGACAATATTGGAAGAAGGAATCCTTGCCTAATTTACAAGAGTGGTTTTATAAAGTTTCGTATTTGGCAGAAATGGCAAAGATTTCGGCTTTTTTAAAGGAGCAATCTCAAGAGAAATTTTTTGCGGTATGGGAAAAATGGATAAATTTTATGCAACATAATTTGGATATGGAAAAATATTATTTAGCCTTTTTATAATTTGTAATGATTGTTTTTTTTTTTCTTTCTTTCTTTCTTCTTCTGTATTATTATTTATATACTTTTCTATATATGTTTTATTTTTCGCCTATCTCTTTCTTTTTTCTTTCTCTCTCTCTTTTCTCTTTCCCTTTTTTCTTCTTCCCTTTTTTTTTATATATATTATTTACTTTAAAGTTTATGTTACGTATATTATTATTATATATATTATTATTATGATTTTTATTATTATTATTAATTATCTTATAAATTGTATACGTTATTTTTTAAAATTTGTTCAATAATCCTATATTCAGTTCTGGGAAGTCAGGGGGGGAGGGTGGGGTGGTTTGGGAGGGGGGGTGGATGTTTATTTGTAAAATTTTTGAAAAAAATTAAATAAATAAATAAAAAAAAGCACAGGAATGCTTCAAAATTTCCCTCAATTTTTATCCTTCAGCAAAAAAACTTTTTTATCATGTTATGGGGGGAGGGGGGGAATCAATAAACTATAAATTACAAAAAGGTCAGATAGTGGTGATCATCTAGTACCAATTTTGCTAGGCCTTTTTTCTACCTATGCTGCCTTTCCTAGAACAAAAGAAATATTAGACAATGATGATATTGTCCAAAAACATCATGTACAGAAAAGGCCATTGTGACTTTTCAGGAACATGGAGATTACTGAATTTTAGGAGTGTATAAAATGCAGCCACAACTAATGGTTCCCTTTTTGTGGCCCGATCACCCTAAAGATAAATTTAGTCTATTTCATTCTTCTTGGAAGTCTGAGGGCAAAATACTGGCTCTAAGCTTTGTAGAGACTTAAGGCATCATTTTGCCATTTAAGAACTCTGAAAAATTAAGAGCATACTTGGTACACAAAGCCTGGAATGGCTTTTAGGTTATTGGAGGTTGTACACTCCTAACTCAGAAGAACCCTAATCACAAGGCTTTTTTTTAATCTTAAATGCAGTATTTGTGAGAAGTTGGATGTGTGATAATCCAGAACCCTAGACCAGTTCATTTCCATTCATTTTGACTTGAGCCATGCAGAAATATGGGGTCAGTATTCCCCACTGGAATTACCTTAATATGGTTCCACACAGCGCAAGGCACACTTTAAGAAGCAGCATTTTTTCTCCTTTTTGCACTCAGAGTCATTATTACATTCATATGGTCCTTTAGTTGGACATTTTATAATATCTTTTGGGCATTTCTTTGGTTTTTCTGCAAAGAAGAGCAGTAGGAAAAAGCTTTAAAAAGCTGAGCCTTAAAGACACTTTATTTACACAGAAGGAGAAAGCATTAAAGCTTAAATCTGATAAGGAAGCTATGCTTACACTTTAGAGAAAAGAAGAAGGATATTTGAGAAGACAAGCAACCTCAGTGGGAGCCCGGGAGTGGAGACAAAATGATACAACAAATGTGATCATGCAAATAATGTGATTTATGGTCTTGCATCAGATGTCATGACACTTCAAGTCCTTTGTGTCAGGGGCACTAAGGAAGCAAAACTACTTGGATTTCTGGAAAAATCTTCAATTGCTGGTAGAGATCTGTAACAGAATCTTGCCTACTAAAATAATTCTCACCCACTACCTATACTAGTGTAATTGTTGTTGTTATTGATAATTGCGAAGTCATGTCTGACCCATTGCGACCCCATGGACAATGTTCCTCCCGATCTTCCTGTCCTCTACCATCTTCTGGAGTCCATTTAAGCTCACGCCTACTGCTTCAGTGACTCCATCCAGCCACCTCATTCTCTGTCGTCCCTTTCTTCTATTGCCCTCAATCTTTCCCAGCATTAGGCCCTTCTCCAGTGAGTCCTTCCTTCTCATTAGGTGGCCAAATTATTTGAGTTTCAACTTCAGGATCTGGCCTTCTAAAGAGCAGTCGGGGTTGATCTCTTCTAGGACTCACAGGTTTGATCGCCTTGCAGTCCAAGGGACTCACAGGAGTCTTCTCCAGCACCATAGTTCAAAGGCCTCAATTAAAGTAATTAAAGAGGTGCTATTCTACATTTAATTCTCATGCTTCCCCCCTTCCTTGGACTCAAGCATCTCTGCTCTAAGAGAAGGTGCTGATTCAACATAAGGACAGCTGCAAAACTTTAGGCTATTATGCACTAGGCTATGGATTCTGTTCTAACCTTCCAGAAGCAGAAATTGGTCTCTGAGATCACAGAATGCAGGACCTTTGAGATGGAATTCACAATTCTTGTTCCAGCATGTTCCTAGCATGCATCATCAGATATCCCTATTAAAAACATCCAAATCTAAGCAGAGTTGGGAGGGCTATGAAGAGATCATGTGAGAAAATAGTTTAAATAGCACTGTTCTTGCTTTAACATGGTAAGCCACATGGAGTCACTTCAGGGTGAGATGGGCAGCAAACAAATTTAATAAATAAAATAGACACTTAATAGTTTAATTCAAGAGTGAGAAAAAAATGTTTATATAGCCCATTCATGAAGTGGTGATCTTCCTATGTCCACAAAAGGCAAAAATAATCAAAAATAATCAATTGATCACCTGTTACCAGGTTTGCTTCCTAATTAGTTTTTTTTTCACTTTGATAACTATATGTAGAATTGCATATAGTTGGAGAGAGAGAAAGAAGAGATTTAAGCCCCAAGAAGTACCTTTTTCTGGTGTGCGACACACTGTCCCACAATTACCCTCACAGCATCTTTTTATTCCTGGACATTCATCATCCTTCTCACATACATCAAAGGCTGCTCGGCAAACTGTGTATTGCACTGGACAAACTCCTGGTTTCACTGTGGAAGAAAAAAGTACAGATATTAGAGAAACAAACATGTGAAATAGAAATTAGATTCTTCCAGCTTCCTACAGAGAGAAATTCCTGCAAAAAAATTTTTCGAGACTCAGCAACGTGATTCTCCCGAAGCAATACTGTATTTTATTGAGATGATGAAATGTGATTAATTCACTTTAGTGGGTCACAAGAGTCTTATAAATAGCAAATAGCTCTGTATAATCCATTGCATAAGTTATTACAATATGTTATTTGATTACCCTAATGATTTTTCTGTCTGTTCTAAATTTGCGAGGAATACAGAATTATTTTTAAAAAACATTAAACTAGATTTCTAACATAATCTTTTATGAGATACCACTTTGCTGTTTTCTGAGGGAGCTAAATATATGTGTAAGCCTCTACTTCTTATGTATATTGAAGAAACTATGGGAAAATTCTCCCTGTAGAGTATTCTGATAAACAGTGCTTTGGTTCATATATATTATATCATAGCTTGCTTAACCATGGATTATTTAATAGGCTGCAATTGGCTGGACTGCAGTCAACCAATACAGGTGGTCTCAAAGAGAGAACTGGGAGAGAGAGAGAGAGGATGACCAGTTCATGGAAAAAACATGCTAAATAGAAAGCAGTGCCCTGTTCTCAGATCCTTGTCCGAAACTTGAGCCTTTAGTTCATCTTTTAGAGGAGCAATAATTATGTCCATGAGGTACAAGCTGCTATGCAAACCCTGACCCTGAACTCCACAATGCAGAAGGATGAGATGAGGAAATGTGATCAGACTGCAGTGAGAAGGGAATTTCCAAGTACTAAGCCTGAGGGTGTAAAGGCAAGGTCTTTCTGTACAGCTATTTATCAATCTTCCCAGGGCCTTCCTTTCCCCTTAATTGCTGATGAGATGGCTGATGCTCTTGCTTCAAACACAGGATAACCAATTAGCCCATTCACCCCACTTCCAAGCTTCCCAGCATCTTCCTTTCACTACCCCAAGCAAATCAGGCAAAGGGAGACAGGGAAAGGAAGGCACTGAGAAGATTGGCGGGTTGCACAGATGAGCTGGATATGCCTTGCTTGAAAACAGCTGAGCTGCCAGCAATGTCCTTAGTTTCAAGTATGGCATATCCAACAGACCACCAACCCACTCTCCCTATAACTTCCCAGTATCTTCCTTTTCCTATCTCTCCTTTGCTGAACATACAGCTCACCTTCCAGGCATTTTTTGCCTGCTCTCCTTTTGGAATATGTGTATTCACATGTTTTAGTATGGACATCCAAAATATTTTCCCCAGCTCTATTCCAAATCTGCAAAAGCAATGTTCTTTCTTCTGACTACAATGAAATGTAAGCAGGCATGCCCTTTAAAACAATGATTGAAATTTGGTGGGGGGGGAGGTGTATTTATTTTCAATGAAACAGATTTATTTTACAATAAAGGTAAAGGTTTCCCCTGTCCAGTCATGTCCAACTCTAGGGGGCGATGCTCATCTCTATTTCTTAGTCAGCATTGTTTGAAGGCATTTCCATGTTCATGTGGCCAGCAGTGGCCAGCTATATGCTGAGGCATGTGGAATGCTATTACCGAAGTGGTACCTATTTAACTACTCGCATTTGTATCCTTTCAAGCTGAGGTAGGCAGGAGCTGAGACAGATAATGGGAGCTCACTCATCGTGCAGCACTTGGGTCTCAAACCCAGGCTGTCAAGCTGAACGTCTTTAACTGCTGAGCCATCATGCTCCCTACAATATATATGGATGTACCCAGGAGTCGAATTTTTACTGATATTATATATATATATATATATATATAAATATATATATATATATATATATGTAGGTCTTGGGTGTTCGGGTTTTCTTCCCGGTAAAATTGGAGTGTCTTGGCGACGTTCGACGAAGTCATTCGTAATCTTCAGGCTGGTGTTTTCAGCTTCGTGCTTCGGCAGCAATGTTGCTGCTCAAAGCACGAAGCTGAAAACACCAGCCTGAAGAGGACGAATGGGACTTCGTCGAAACGTCGCCAAGACACTTCCAATTTTACGCGGGAGAAAACCCGAACAACCAAAGACCTACATACAAACACCCGCGACAACCTCAGAAAAAAATATATACATATATATTATATTATATCTACTATATATATAAGAATAGGTATGTATGTAGTATGTCTATGTCTATGTATATGTAGATGAATTAATATATATATATATATACTAATATATATATATAGATATAATAGAAGAACTGCCGTTTACACCCTGATGATGTCAAGAGCTCTTGACGAAAGCTAGGTTTAGTAAATAAAAGTTTTAACATTTTTAACTTTTGTATAATTTTATTCTCTTGGTGTTCGACTATTTATTGATTTTAAGATATATATATATATATATATATAGTGTGTTTGTGTGTGTGTGTGTGTGTGTGTGTGTGTAAAATATGGGATAATTATTAAACATGTGATATGTATTTCTTGCCATCTCTAACCCTGATTAAATTATTAGTTGTATTCATGGAAGCATCACACAAATTCATTAACCATTTTAGGGCATCATACAAGGCTATAGTCATCATTTACAGAGTTTGGGTTTCTCGGTAGTTTGAATTCAAACCAAATACCCAGATTATGGCACAGCACTATGAAATCTATCTAAGCTAGCAATCGCTATGCTTATTTCAATAATCAAAGTGTAAATCCATCAAACATGCCATTTTTAATAGTGGCAGTGATGTTTCTAGTTCTTCTTGTCTGCTCCGAAATGACTAATACTTATTGTAATTTGGCTGGGCATGTTTCACTTAATGACATGTGTAGTAAAAGATTGGTGGGGAGCATTACAACATAATTCTAAGTCTGCAAGCTAGTTGCTGATTCTGGGAGAGATCCATTAAGGTCCTGTGATTTTTTGTTGTTGTTGTAAGACCGGGATCTAATTATAAGAGGATTGATGAAAATAATAGGGTTGCAGGATAAAGCCTTCATAGTTTTTTATCCCTTATTATGGAAATTGCATTCTCTAAGGGAGACTCTCCTGAAAATAGAGAGCCTTGTGTCAATACTGCTTACTGGTAAGCTTTAGACATCAGAAGCAATTAACAATTAGGGAACTACAATGTCACAGAAATAACATAAACAATGGGGAGGTGGTTGGATTCAGCATAGGAATGACTGCAAGATAAGCAGGGGTTGAAAAATGTATTATTTATTTTCCAGGATGGCTTTCTACATAAACTAGCAATCACCACCTCCCCATGAAGCAAAATCTGAACCTAGTACCATTCTCTGGTAACAAGCAGGCTTGCCCACAAGAGCCAGGACAGCATTTCCTTGCACCTGGACACTGGTCATCTTGCTTGCATCGATTTCCAATAGGTCCTCCATGACAGATGGCGTCAGTGTATGGACAGACACCAGGTTTCACTTTGGAAAAAATATAAGACAGTTTTAAGGATATTTGTAAATAACTGGAACAATTAGAAATGTTGTGATAAGAATCTACCAGAGGGCATGAACGGGGGGGGGAGTTGTAAACATAAAACCCTAACCTGTCTAAACTCTTCTGAATTTTCTACGATAAAGTTTCATTCAAAAATAAATATAACACACATGTATTATCATAAAATTATACATAGATACAGTATATGGGTCCTTGGTCTAGGATAATCCCACATAAGTAGAGCTTCTGCTAACTGCTTCCCAATCTGTTTATGTTGTTGTTGTTGTTAATTGCGAAGTCGTGTCCGACCCATCGCGACCCCATGGACAATGTTCCTCCAGGTCTTCCTGTCCTCTATCATCTTCTGGAGTCCATTTAAGTTCAATCTGTTTATAGAATTACTTAATTCATGGATATAATAATCTTACATTTTAATCTTCTACTAGTTTTTCTGATTGCATTTGATTTTGTTTCTGTAATTTATGGCCTACATCTTGAACATTGATACTGTTTGTATAGTTAATATGAAAAATATGTTACTAATATATTAGAAATAGTGCCCAGACTTTAGGAATGAAAACCGAAAACATTTAACAAATTAAGCATAGCCTGGGGAGTTAAAGGGTAGAACATTATGGCTTTATTTATAGCCGAAAGAATCATCAACCATTGGGAAACTGTAGCCTGCGTCCCAATTAAAAAAAAAAAAACACGGAAAAGAGGATGATAATCTACCTGGCCTTTTCTATGAGCCAGAAATGGAATAGTTGAAGGAAGCTTACATTTCACCTCCCTGATAGATAGAACTTCAATTCTTACTGACAGTTGCTTTGGCCTGGACAGCTAGAGGTCATCCATCACTTGTGGCAATTCTCCCTACCCCTTGCCCAAATAAGCAACAGCTTCAGGAAGACAATTTGAGCCCAACCAAAATCAAACAAAACACCACTTACACACTCAGCATGGCTTTCTGATTTTGAAGCATTGATCCCCTTTTTCTCTTTTTTTCTCCCTTTGAGTGCCTTGTTTGTTTTTTGAGCCTGAGGACAGAGGGTTTTCCCTATCAACTGATGTGACCCTTTTGAAAGGCAAAAGGTTCTTTCAAAAGCAAGATAAAAATGCAGCAAATAAATAAATCTGAATAACCACAGCATGACTTTATTCTCAACTTTTAGAAAAACAGAAAATAACTTGGTTCTAGACGAAAACACAATAAAGGCAACTGGTAGAGGGTTTCTAGTCTGGATGAAGCCCCCAAATATTGTTCTTCCACTTACCTTTGGCTGGATGTGGGACACCTCCAATGAAGCAAGTCAGTTCTACACAGAAGATAAAAAAGCTAGTGAGAAAAAAAGTGTCAGTTGCTCCCATGGTGCTGTTAGAATGATGTCTACTCTGATCTATCACCGCTATCCAAGATGGTTTATGATCTTTTACACATAACTTTTGGAGGAAAGAGCACCAGCAGGGTTGTTCTGGAAAGCTGCCAGGATTCCTGGTTTTCCAGATTTTCACTGGACTGGACACAGGGGTCCTGTTCCAAGCTACTGTTGCTGACTGTTGTAACAGTCATTCCATCTCTCTGAGGAATCCTAGGAACTCTGTTGGGGGCAATGAGGTTCTAGCAGTGAGAATTCTCAGAATCCTCACTAGACATTCAAAAGGTTAGAGGGTTATGATCTTGAGCAGGGATGGCATGCTCATATATGGAAGGGGCAAAATAGAAATTATCAATATTTTTTAAAACACAAGGTCCGGCAAGGGTTAATTAAAAGTTGGAATACTGTTAAATCTCAATATTATACAAAGATACCGACTTGGTTATCGCCATTGGAGGCAGCTATATATCCCAATTTGCTCAGGAAAGAAAGAAGAAAATGTTAGTAAAGAAGATATGTATTTATTCACTCATGTGGTTACAGCGGCAAGAATTGTTTTCGCTCAAAATTGGAAAGCTACGGCTATACCTAGTGAAGAAATCTTAATTCATAAAATTATGCACTGCGCAGAATCAGGATGAAACGGACTTTTACCAAATTTGGAACAAATTCTATAGATGGTGGGGGGAAAAATATGGAAGTCATTGTAATGAGATAAGTTAAGATTGAGATAAGAGTGATGTTATTGTATAGATTTTTTATTAGTAATTAATTGTGAATATGAACTGTGATGTTTATCAAATCTGATTTACCATGTTCAATGTTTTTAATCTTTTTTTTCTTTTTTTGTTATTCAATAAAAAAAATTTTAAAAAAGGTTTTGGAGAAAGCCTTGATAACAGTTGACCTAATTAGTTAATGAATTGATTAACTATAGCCACCCATCTCACAGCTATGACTCTGGGTAACTCATAGATATAATGTTTTGGCCCCTTCAGAAGAGTTTTCATCCAAAGAGGATGGAGCTGTTGGCCCTCGTGATCCAGTAAAGCTGAATTAGGGCCAGCAAGCTCAAGCCTTAAGTCTATTAAGTATATAGAAATCAACTTACCATACATGTGACTTAAGAGAATAAAAAGGCATCTGGGATGTTTTTCCTTGGAATGAATACCAGCTTCCAGGAAAGGCATCCAAGGGTAAGGGTAAATTTGAAAAAAGTTTAAATCTGATCTGAGGTCTAGAGCTTGCTACATATAATCATACAATCATACCTGGCAGCAGAGGGGTACTGAAACATTCTTATCAGTCCTTGCCTCCTAAACCATCTATTGATCTCTCTGTGTTTAAACATTATTACAGCTTCTGCAATATTTTTTTGTTCCAACTGTATCATCAGATTATTTTCATCACTTATATCATGCACAGAGAATACTAGAAAGTTCTCTGCATTTAAAAAACTGAAAAATAGAAAATATTAGAAGAAATCCAAACTTAACTGTGGAGAAACCCAAACTTAACTGCCCCCCCCCCCATGATAAGGATTTTTCCAGCCAGGATGCAAGGATTAGCACTTTGAAGAATAATTGAATTGAAGTAGAGCTGTTGGAAAGAAGTCTTTAATGGGAAGAAACCAAGATGAGTGACATTCAGCAGTTTCCTGGCTAGGTAGGAAGACTGACATCTAAACGTGAGTTTATATACCCTTTTCTGAGATTTCAGTCTAACATATGCTAAACCTGTATTTGGTGACATTTAATCCTGTGCCTATTGATGGGATAATTTTCCTATTTGGCTTTGTTTGGGGAAAAAAGTTAATCTCCATTCCCAAAAAGGGAGCAGAGTTGGCAAATCTGGTTAGTTCCTGTGTCTGTTTGTTTTGTTAATTGGTTTAACAAGTGGCAGTTATTGTGTTAAGTATTTTGCTACATTTTATTACATTCTTGCAAGCCAGACTGTATTCTTTGTAGTTTTGTTAATCTCAGGTGTTTGCACATGGGCTCGCCTGAGGCTGTAAACTCTGGAAATGAGCAAGATAGGCTTGTGTTCTATTTTTAAAAGGATTTAAACTGTTGTGATTTAATTATGTTTGTGATTTAATTTTTTTCTGCCTCATGGTTTCTTCATCTATTTGGGGAGGGGGGTCTTCCTTCATAACTAAACAGTAATTGTTAAAGAATGTATTGCAAGCTATCAGTATTAATTCCAACCACTCGAGATATATTGATCTCTTATCTTGTCATTCATATTTGAATCTTGATCCCACTGTTTAGCTAATTAGGAGACTAATTAGTCCTAAGTCAAAGTACTATAGGTAGTCCTTGAGTTACGACCACAATTGAACCCAAATTTATGTTGCTAAGTGAAATATTTATTAAGTGAGTTTGTCCCATTTTACAACTTTTCATGCCTCAGTTGTTAAGTGAATCATTGAATTTGTTAAGTTAGTAACATGGTTGTTAACTGAATCTGGGTTCCCCATTGACTTTGCTTGTCAGAAGGTTGCAAAAGCTGATCACGTGACCCCAGGACACAGCAACTGTCATAAATATGAGTCAATTGCCAAGTGTCTGAATTTTGATTTCATGACTGAGGGTTATGCAGTGGTCATAAGTGTGAAAAACACTCATAAGTCACTTTTCAATGCCGTTGTAACTTTGAATGGTCACTAAATGAACTGTTGTAAGTGGAGGACTACATATTTATGCAATGTTTAATACAATGCAAATATGGAACACCTATAACATGGCAATTTAAGGGCAGATCTACAAGATAAAAGCCAATCAGGAAGAAAATACGGCATCCTTGATGTCCTCTGAGCTTTGATGTTTGCTTGCAGACATTTTATCACTAGGATTGTTGTTACCTAGTGAATAATGAAATGTCTGCAAACAGCCAATCTCAGAGACCACCAAGGACTTCAACTCTGAGAGAGAGAGGGGGGGAGGGAGGGAGGGAGGGAGGGAGGGAGAGAGAGAGAGAGAGAGAGAGAGAGAGAGAGAGAGAGAGAGAGAGAGAGAGAGACTATGTATTGTGAGCTTATACAGGTGAAACTCAAAAAATTAGAATATCGTGCAAAAATTCATTTATTTCAGTAATGCAACTTAAAAGGTGAACCTAATATATGAGATAGACTCATTACATGCAAAGCAAGATAGTTCAAGCCGTGATGTGTCATAAGTGAGATGATTATAGCTTACAGCTCATGAAAAATCCCAAATCCACAATCTCAGAAAATTAGAATATTACATGCAATCAATAAAACAAGGATTGTACATAGAACAATATCAAACCTCTGAAAAGTATAAGCATGCATATGTACTCAGTACTTGGTTTGGGTCCCTTTTGCAGCAATTACTGCCTCAATGCGGCATGGCATGGAAGCTATCAGCCTGTGGTGTTATGGAAGACCAGGGCGCTTCAATAGTGGCCTTCAGCTCTTCTGCATTGTTCAGTCTCATGTCTCTCATCTTTCTCTTGGCAATGCCCCATAGATTCTCTATGGGGTTCAGGTCAGGTGAGTTTGCTGGCCAATCAAGCACAGTAATCCCATGGTCATTGAACCAGGTTTTGGTGCTTTTGGCAGTGTGTGCCTCTCCAATCTTCCTCCAGACTCTGTGTCCTTGGTTCCCAAATGAGATGCAAAAGTTGCTCTCATCAGAAAAGAGGACTTTGGACCACTGAGCAACAGACCAGTTCTGTTTTTCTTTAGCCCAGGTAAGACGCTTCTGAAGTTGTTTGTTGTTCAGGAGCGGCTTGACAAGAGAAATACAACATTTGAAGCCCATGTCCAGGATCCATCTGTGTGTGGTGGCTCTTGATGCACTGACTCCAGCCTCAGTCCACTCCTTGTGAAAGTCCCCAACACTTTTGAATGGCCTTTTCCTGACAATCCTCTCCAGGCTGCAGTCATCCCTGCTGCTTGTGCACCTTTTTCTTCCACACTTTTCCCTTCCACATAACTTTCTATTAATGTGCTTTGACACAGCACTTTGGGAACATACAACTTCTTTTGTAATTACCTTTTGAGGCTTTCCCTCCTTATGGAGGGTGTCAATGATGGTTTTCTGTACAACTGTCAGGTCAGCAGTCTTTCCCATGATTGTGATTCCTACTGAACCAGACTGAGAGACCATTTAAAGGCTCAGGAACCCTTTGCAGGTGTTAGCTGATTAGAGTGGGATATTTTGAGCCTAGAATATTGAACCTTTTCACAGTATTCTAATTTTCTGAGATTGTGGATTTGGGATTTTCATGAGCTGTAAGCCATAATCATCTCACTTATGACATATCACGGCTTGAACTATCTTGCTTTGCATGTAATGAGTCTATCTCATATATTAGGTTCACCTTTTAAGTTGCATTACTGAAATAAATGACCTTTTGCACAATATTCTAATTTTTCGAGTTTCACCTATATAATGCAAGACTAAAGTTGTTAACCTTATCAGAGAATCAGATTGCTTCCTAAAGGCTACCACATAATCTACATTAAAACAATGAAATGAAATGTTCATTTCAATTTTGCTCTTCCACATATGATAGCATTCCTAAAATACTCCTTCTAGCATTTTTTAATTTCAGTTTCATATGAAATCATTTCATCTCTTTTATTCTTAACTCCATTTTTTTTCTATCAAGGTCTCTTTCCAAAATAGTTTTAAATTAGAATCAGAATTTGCCCTGCATTTTCTCTTCTGTTTGCAATTGTTTGTCATCCTTTTCTTACTATATTACTTTCTCTACAGTATTTTTCGTTCAATCTCATTTTTGTAACATATCTTCCTTTGTAGCCAATGTCATGGTTCCAACAGATGAAACTCTTTAAAAGAACTTTGAGGCATTGTTTACCTTAAAGAATCTTTTATTTGAGAAACAAAGTATCAGCACTACATAGTTAAAGCCAAAAATTGAATTCCCCCCCCCCCCTGGGCACAGAGTAGCAAAGCACAATTTCCTCCTCCAATTAACAGTCATAAATCACATTCCCCAATTAGCTTGAAGCGCAGGCTTTCTCCCCAGCTCTCCAGCCCACCAAATCTTTATCAGCTCTGGGCACAATAACCTTGATTCCCATGGCTGAGTTATTGTTGTTATGACTAACTGAGCTCTCATCCACATCCCCCCTCCCAGCATCACTTAACTCTAAAAGAGAAAGAGAAAAGATGGCTACATTTTCATCTGTTG